TCAGGGCACGTGGTTTTGATCAGTAGCCAAATCAGAATACTGCGGCGGATCTTGTGTGCTGCAGGTACACTGGCCGCATCAAATCTTTCAATGCCTCCCAGGGCTACGGCTTCATTAGCTGTGCTGACACGTCGGGCGCACGGTCAAACCATGCTGGGTTTGCTGGGTTTGCAACATGCACTTTCTGTGCACGCGAGAGAGACGAGATCGGTGCCAGTTTGGACAGGGTGGTCTGAAATGAGCGAGTGGTGTTTCTTCGGAGAGGCCTGAGCCGAGAGAGGGTGAACTGGCTGGCGCTCCCAGGTATGCACGATTCAATCGTGACGTCTTCCTGCACCATTCGCAGCTGAATGGCTTGAAGGCTCACATTCTGTACTTCGTGCACGTGTGCGGTCATGTATGCTCATGCGCTGCAAAGCTGACAAAGCAACAAGAGACTCTGTAGAAAAAAATGAAGAGCCGCATTTAGCCGTGTCATTTTGCCAACCTCTGAGGTTGGTGATGAAGTTTACTTCCGCATTTTTGTGGACAAGACGAAGGCATGGCAATTGGATGCGGCCCGCATTGCGGCTCTAAAGCTGTCTGTGCGTCGAAGGGACGCCTAAATTGCCCCAAGGAGCAGAGTTTGCCCGTTGAGCCAGACATGAGAATTTTGGTGGAGGCAGATGCGCAGGCCAAAGCTCTTGACGTCAAGGCTTCGCTCTGCCCATGTCAGCGAAATTTGCATGAGTCACAGTGTTGAGACTCTCCCATGCAATGGATAGCAAGTGCTTGACCGGACTCACTCGCCGCCCTGAGCTCACACGAACACTAGCTCAATCGCAGAGCGTGAAGTGCTGACGACCTTCCCATTTCACGCGCGTCTGAGCGTGTCAAACAGTTGCGTTTTTGCACTGTGTCACGATGTTGTGCCAACATGTTGGCTGCACTGGGCTCCAAGCGTTGGAATCAAACATCCTGCGCATACATATTTTGCTTAGATGAGGTCACATGGGCATTTACATCAAGCCTTACCAGAAAGATGACCACCTTTTATTACTTTTCACTTGCCCAGCTTCAGGCAGCAAAGCTGCCGGACACCTCCCCTGCGTCTCCGACAACTCCAAGTGAGGCCGGGATCGATAATAATGCATTCGTCGCTGAGCTCATGTTCCATAGGGCTTGTGGGACCACGTTCAGTCAACAAGTGCGTTTTCTTTAGGGGGGAGGGGTCACGAGGGGTTGGGCAAAGAGCCCAGGTTCGATCTTAAACGGTGACAGGAAATGACTGCTTTGTGAAAGGTAAGAACTCTTGGGTTCGCAGCTGATCTCCTGAGGGTAAATGCCATTCCCGCTCCTCCTATGTAGCAAGTGGAGCAGTTTTGCAGGCCCCCCTTGACCAGCAGAAGTCGCCAGCGGCTGCCAACACAGACAAGGCTGAGGTGGGGAGCAATAACAATGCTAGCATGCTTTGTGACTTTAGTACGTACATGATGTGTGAGGAGGATGCGCCAGCAATGTTGAATGGCAGCACAACCAAGAAGGACGCCGCGCCAGATCCTGGCCACAAATTATGGCGTGATGCAGCCCAGATCTGAGACGTCTTCTTATTGAGATCTCGGGAAGCATGCGCAGATGTGCTGGCCACACTTCCAGGACATCCAGCAGGGCGATGTGGCGAAGCCAGCTGAGCCGGTGCCCAACGCACTTGGTTGCGAACCACTCTCAGTTGGCGTGGATATTCTGCAGCACTTTTACCTCCAAGGCGCTGTCATGCGCTGTCTTTTCTTTGTGACCCTTCGAAGCGCGAAGGTACCCGAGGTTGAGACGACAGCCCGCCCTTCGGAAGCCGGCTGGACACGCCCCTCACCCGGACGCATACTTTCTACACGTCCCAGTGCTTCTGGCTAGTGGTAGGCGCAGTGATGGAGACAGCTTGTGTTCCTTGCAGCCCGAGGGCTGATGCTTAACGTCAGCTCCTGTTAGGGCAGGTATTGACAGTCTGGTGACACGCGAACAGGGTGGGTTTGGTTCCTATTTGTGGCAAACCTGGTCACACAAAGACAAAGCTGAGAGGCTATGTCACTGAGGAAGCTGAATATTGGCTGGAGCCTCAAACGACAGCGGTCCATGGCAGTGGGATTCTCTACCTGTCCAAGCGGTGAAGACATGGTAGTCATTCAATACTTCGTGACAAAGGATGCTGGACTGGACGCCATTTCCCCCAAAACAATCTGAAGACTTGAGCGGCATTGAGGTGGCATTGCACTTCCACAGATGAGTGGTTCATGGAGAAAGAACCAGGCCTCACCGAAAAACTTGCTTGCACCATATTAGTGATATTGTTACTAATAGTGTTAATATTTAACCGCTAACGCGAGACCGCCTCGGCAAAGTGTGTCGTACATGCACTGCATGCTCAAACCAAGCAAGTTTCGCACCTGCGCCGCAGCTCTTGCCGTGACCCCCCTCACCTCCCCCCCCAACCTCCCTTTGGCCTGGTGCCTAGGGGACAGGGGGACCCTGCGGCCAGCCTGTGCAGGACCCGGGCGAGCATCCGGACCCTCCCTAGAAACTTAAAAAAAAGAGCCGATCCTGCCCCCACTCCTGGAATTGTGCGCATTGGGAGGGGGTAGGGGGAGGGTTAACTTACTCTCCTAGTCTCCGGACCTGGATCTAAACGCCGCAGGCATCCGGCCTCGGCGGATAACAAATTATAGTATGATTAATAAGCTTATTAATGATGATATAGGAAATATTAGTCACACCAATACAAAGAAGACTGTTATCACCAGTGTAGATGTTGCTTGCTTGTGCCGTCTCGGTGCTACCTCACTTCTGTGAGAAATTAGGTGGCATATGCTCTAGGAGACATTCGATACTTCCAAGCCTGCATGACTTGGATAGACTCACCCCAAAGTTGGCGCAATCTGTAGATCTGGATCTGCGGTATGACGTAGAGACGTTATGCTACGGTAGTGCATCTGAAGGCTCAAAGACTCCAGACCTGCGCAGGTCAATGGTCGGAATTCATGGACACAGCAACCAACAAGAAGTACTGGTTTCATCCAGATGGGAGGCGCATTGTTTGGATTGGTCTTCCGATTTAAGACTCATGGCATTGTGATGAGTTCTGCTCTCTTGCATCTTTCCCTGTGAAGGTGTTTTTGGGCTGAAGTCTAGCGCTTTGGTCTGGCTAACCCCTGGCGTGCCACTCATGCCGAGACCGTGTCTTCACAAATGCGAGTGGCAAGGAGAGCATAAGGAAATGAAAAAGCCTTGCCTGTGTGGCATACTGCAAATGCTATCATGGTACCATTCCAGGACATTGGTCTTTTTCCTTGGCTAGCCCCCATTAGCAAGGCTGCAGGCTCTGGCTAGGTTTGATTCAAACAAAGCAGGAGGTTCTGCAACGGGAGCCGGTACGACTGGTAAGAAGTTGCGCAAGATGAGCACAAACACGACAAACTTCATTGGTTCTGCTGTGCCCCCCTTGCCACGATGCTCCGAAAGCAGCACTCTGTGTGGTTCTGCACGGGCCCGAGTAGAGCTCTCCTTTTCCATAGTGACTTTAACAAATAGCAAGGTCATGTGAGATTGTCTTGCAGCTCACAGGACCTTATCCCTAAACCCTATAACCCCAGGGGGAGGGACTGCATTATGATGGGGTATATATTGGGGTAGAATACAGGTTTATACAAGTATAATGCAACAAACATGGAAACTCCTACATTGTACTGTAAACATGCGGATCATGGAAAAATGGAAACTACTACATCATATTATAATACTGTAGGGTTCCTGGTTGCACAACCATGCAAGCTGCAGGCGTGAGTCAGGTTCTAGAAACAGCTGTGTGCTGTCAGGAAGTCTGGGTAAGAGAGATTAAGAGAGCCCATGGCTCTTGTGGACAAGTGTGACTAAAGTTTAGTGCATTATAGTAGGGTACTAGATGATAGTAGGGTATATATTGGGGTAGTATGAGACTATAAGGGAGACTCAAATGAGAAAGAACATGGAAAATGAAGTGGGAACAGGGTTAATATCGGGTAATATAGGGCTAGTTACTGGGGATTGGCAGGCAATATGGGTAAAAGTTATAAAGGGATTATATTCCATTATTCCCTTCTAACCAACTGTGAGTTTATTGCCTTGAACGTAATCCTGCTTGGGCTACTCGTATCCAGACATCCATCCGGCTGCATGCCTACACGTTGACTGGCCTGAAGGCAACTGCGTGTCATAAGACACGTCTCTATTTACACAGCAATGAGACATCACAAACTTTAAGTGCGCAAATTGAATCTCTTTGCAACTGTCCACCAAATCTGTTAATAATGTTTTCAGTTGCCAGGCTGCGTATCACAGCATTGGGTGATTCAACACGGTCAAACAAGCAAGGCCATGCGCCACGAGCTGTGCTAACTCAAGCTTCCAGGGTTAGCGACAAGCATGATGGACCGCGCAAGGTGGCGCTCGCGGGCCCATCATCAATGTGCCAAGACGGATTTTTGCATCAGATCGGATGGAGGCGATAGTCTCAAGGGCCTTTGGGCAGTGCTTGGCCACATTGGTGATCTTGAAGGCGCTGGCAAGCGCGCTGTGCGCAGTGGGTTTCTTTCAAGGTGCGCCCTTTGCTTGGTATTCCAAATCCTGCGTATCTATGCACATACAGAGGACATGTTCACACGCCTTGGTACTTGATGTAAGTTTGGTGGCACGGACAAAGTAGAACGTAGATGTGGGCTGAGGCAGGCAGCCCACAACTAGCAGACTGCTCGCAGCTGTAAGGTTGAGTCAAGACATGGCTAAGGACCGCTCTTTGGGGTGCTGCCTGTAGTCTGTAGCCACCCATGAATCCGGTTTGGCAAGTGCCCTATGTCTTTGAGAATGCCATGGCCTCAATTCTGAGGTGCTCTGGCATACTTCCGCTTGCGCACCGTTCCATAGCTTGCGTGGATGGCATTATCTTGCTGCAGCGTGATGGTCTCTTTCATGCTAGTATCACCTCCGGAACGTGAGAAGGTTGGAAAGAAGTCGTGTTTGGGCAGCACATTCCCCACCACCAATTCATACCATTGCGGTTGCGCAGATTTTGCCAAGTTCCACCGGTGGACGTCTGCTGACCTCTGAAGACAGGTGCCTCCAGTGCCAGCACGTGGCCTGAAAGAACAATGGTAGAAGCTGTAAAAAACCCTGGACCCGTGGATAGGCTGCGCCTCATCATGTCAGGCAACCTTTCTTATTTCAGGAGTGAGTGGGCCGTCAAGGTGAGTTTTTGGTGGGCCCGTTGGGATGTTTCTTGGTCTTGGCACGGATGTCTTATACAATTCTGATAAAGCTTGAGAAGTGAGTCCATCTTCGTGTTGGGAACAATGCTTTCAATAGTTTTTGGGCTGTAACAGGTTTCACAGTCTCCGGCTTGGCAAGGGTGACGAATTCCGGCAAAGGAGTTTTGGATTTGTTCAGGAGCCCATGCCTGCTGCATGAACCCAAAATCTTTCACAAGTAGTTACTCTGCCTGCCAGATTTTTGGAGGCCCTGGTCCCATCCTAAAATTTTAGAGAACGGGCGCAGGCAAATTAGGTGCTCTGCTAGCTGCTGCTGCAGGTGGAGGTGGCGGTAGCGGTAGCCGTAGCAGTCGCAGTGGCGGCAGCAGCGGCAGCAGCGGCAGTAGTAGTAGTAGTAGTAGTAGTAGTAGTTGTAGTTGTAGTAGTAGTTGTAGTAGTAATAGTAGTAGTAGGAGTAGTAGTAGTAGTAGTTGTTGTTGTTGTTGTTGTTGTTGTTCTTGTTGTTGTTCTTGTTGTTGTTCTTGTTGTTGTTCTTGTTGTTCTTGTTCTTGTTCTTGTAGTAGTAGTAGTAGTAGTAGTAGTAGTTGTTGTTGTTGTTGTTGTTGTTGTTAACATAGAAGTCAAAGTAGAAGGAGCAGAAGGTCAAGCAGAAGATCATCTTTGACTCCTTGAATTTGAGCAGCCTTGTGGCCTTGTGTGCACTTGCCACAAGGTGCATGTCTGTGATGGCACTGGAGGCTGCTACTGGTTCTCTGCGAGCAGAACAGATTAGGATCATTAGGAAACAAAACAGTGCGCAACTTGGAAGATGTTCTAGCACGGCAGAGCTTCTAAATGATGCTCTGTCATGGTCATCAATGTGTCATGCGACTTTTCTTGCTCTTGCTGCGTGTGTGGGTGCAGCACTTCGCATACCGCGGCAGACATTGGCTCAAGTAGAATGTTTGCAAGTGATGGTTGTTCATGAATCTTTTGCACTGTCTTGGAGCCACACATGTTTAAGACGTTGTTTCACAAGATGCTGCGGACCTAAGACATTGCAAAACAATAAGTTTTACGCCTCCTTACAAGGGCTCTTAATTGAACTGTAAGACGTAGCGGTTCAGCTGCACCGTATCCAGACACGGAAATATGGTTGGTAGTAGCATTCCACCCTCATTATCTGAGCCCTGCGTCTGTATACATGCTGGCCCAGGCAGCTGGATCTTTCCCGTGGTGTTGCCATGGAGCGTGAAATGATCGTTCCAGCCCAGGTGCGGCTGTAAGAAGCTGTGAGTAAAGTAAGTGTGATGTCTCTAGGACCTTCCAGGCCAAGCAGTGGTGTTCAGAAGAAGTCCTTTAAATAGATTTGCCCAGGAGATCACAAACCAGTTCTGTACCAGCTTCGTGTCCTTTACCGACAATTGCCGCGCGTTCCAGGTATGAAGTCTGCTCGGGGCGCGAGCCCCCGCAGCCCCCGCAGTGACGATCCTGGCGCAAGCCCGCGGGATGGGGCCAGCCCTCGACGCCCCTCAGGCTCTGACCTATGTTTTATGCAGTGAACACCAATTAAAGTCAGACACCGGCAGGGGCAAAAATGCTCTTTGCAGGTGCTCATAGTCCTGGTCAAAGCCCACGTGATAGCCCTCGCGGAGACAGTCCTCGTGGAGACAGCCCTCGCGGTGGCCTCAAGCGCATGCACAGGCGTAGGACTGTTTGGGCGCTTGCCAGCAGTTTGCCAGGCATGAGCACAGTGAGCGTCCGGATTTGCTGCGCCTTGAGCCTACTTGGCCAAGAACGTGGGCTCAGGTCGCAGGAACTCCGTAAGGGGAGGGAGACGAAACTCTGTGCGCGAGGACCTGCGCGCCAAAGCTATCTAGCAGACGTGAATGCCCAATGCCATGGTCTGTCTGCATGAGGAGTCTCCACGCTGGGATAGGCCCCCTCGACAGCGGCCCGCTGCCGGTCGAAGCGGCTTCTCGCTCCTTGCGGACGTGGCTTCTCTCCTGCGCTGTTTCCCACGCACAGCCTTACCCAACTTGGCACATTAGCTACGCTTTGCTGCACTTGCCCGTCCCAGGTGGTCAAAAACCAGCAGATTGATCAGCTCAAGGAGTCCTTACAGCTTGGTGGTGGTGTTGTTGCCCGGAAGTCGGTGGGCGAGCTCCTTGGCAGATCATACTGCCACGGGCTTCTTTGGAGCAAGAGGCAACAACCTGCCATTGGCCAGCGCAAGAGAACATGTGGACCCACACGCAGAGCAGGCAGTCCTGCGCATTTGTAATTACGACCTTCGGAAGAGCTGCATACGTGCTGAATTAAGGCATTCTGTCAAACTGGGACTACGCTAAAACTTCTACTGATGCATGTGCCATTTAGCGTGAGAGCTTTGGCGTTCAACTGTACCTGCAATGGGCGGACCCAACATGTGCAAAGCCTCTTGAATGGCGGTAGATGCACTTTTGGCGGAGAGAAGCTAAGGTTTCTCAAGGGCTTCCGACTCGCAGCCGGAAACCTGGCATGCCACAAAACCCCGGTAGGCTATTGCAGAGCCCATTCAAAAGCATGCTCTCTCTTATGCAACGCAATGGAATCCTGCTTCAATCCCTGTAAAGCCATTTCACTGCAGTCAAGGCTGGGCAGGATCTTCGACTGGAGGCGTTTGACATTGTTGGACTGCAGGACACAGTGACTCAGTGCTCAAAACTGACTGACCCCTTGTGTATGATGGATTCTGGATCTTCGATCTGCAGGATGGCGATGAGTTGGATGATCGGCTAGCGTTGGTTGTGCAGGATTCCCTCACAGGCAGCAGCTCGCCGGAGAAACCAGCCTGGCTTGAAAGGCGACAGGTGCATGGGCCCGAAATGTTGCTGGCAAAGGCATAGGCAAAGATAGCCCGGGCTGTGACATACTGCATTGCAATACGCAGCATGCCAAGCTAAACATTCAGGAATGAGTTACCGGCACAGACAGCACAGTCCTTCAGGCAAAGAAGATGACCGTGACATCCGCTTGTTCGCCCGCCCCCCGTTCTCTGGATGCATTGGCACACGGTAGTATGCAAGTGACAGAAGAAACTGGTGGCTCAGGTGGTATGAGCCCGGGACAGTTGTCAAGCCTAGTCGATGTCGACGCGTTGCCCGGACATGACACAGATGCAGTTGTCGGTTGGCATGAAACCTTGCACAACGCTGTGCAGACAGATAGCTTAAGTCTTGAGCTGCTGAGTTTTGGAGCTGCCTTTTCCCCTGCTGTGTGCGCCGACGGCCTCGTCGCTGGCGGCGCAAGCGCCGCTACCGTGAGGATCTCTTCGCTTGCTTCGTGAGGGTGCAGGACTCGGTGTCAGAGCATGAGCCCTATAAGCACAAGAAGGAAATCGCAAAGGGAAACCCACGCCAAGGTGCAGCAAGCTCTATTGCGGCTTGCATATCGAAGCAGTTCTGCAGCAAAGCAACGCGACATCTTCGTGACCCTTGGATGCGCGTGGGCTTTTACGAGCAGACACAGCAACCCAGACGGGGGAGTGAACACTAATCACCATGTACCTTGACATCTTGCGCCGATGGATGTTGCAACGGAATCCAGGCGCAGCCAAGCAAAATCCCGCTGCCTGTCAGGAGCTTCCAGGAATCTGACAAAGATCTTGCCAAGTGGCTTCGCTTGTTCTGCAACTTGATTGGAGATATATGTCATCACTGATGCACGTTGCCAATTTGTGGGTCGGATGTACCACTTCCAGCCGTGCAATCTGGCACGTCTGCATGCTTTTGGAAGCAATCCGCGTGCATGTTCAGGGCTTGCGCCCTGCGGTCATGTGTTTGTCGATTTTGGAAGGTGATATGCGATCCCTTTCTGCATCCCTGCCAGCAAGCAGTGGGGATCATCAAGCGGGATCTCATTTGCATCAGATCGCCCTCCTGGCCTGGCTCGACAACTAGGGGCTTCAAAGGCAGTGCTTCCATCAATTTGCTTGCCAATTGTAATTCGGAATTTTGGTGTGGCCAAATCTACATTTGCTTTTGCCATCATGTGCCATCCAGTGCATAATTCGTCGTTGCAAGAAGTACCTTTTCAAGCAGCATCGTGGATGTTATGGTCATGCCTGCTCAAGGTATACGCGCAGTTGGCGAACGATGTTGCCCCTCAGCAGATATTTATGCCTAAGATCCCTAGAGGGCCAATCTGAACTCCGGGGCATAGACGGGAAGGCGTCCCAGAAACTCATCACTTCGTTCCCTTGCGGCAGGCCAGGCAACAGTTGCAGGAAGCAGAGGCAAAGCAGGCGCAGGCAGAGAAGGAGGAGCAGAAGCAGGCCAGCGGCGCGTAGAACTGATGGTAAATAGTGCCACCAGCTCTGCTCCTGAGCCCACTTCAGTGATTCTTCAAATTAAGGTCTTCTGGTTGCTGCCTCTCATGGTCTAAAAAGATGCTTTGAGGGCTGTTCAGCTGAAGACCTGTCAATTCTTGCTGTGCTGCTGCAAGTTCACTTGCGCCAAATCACATGACTCGAGTCGGCCACTTGAGTTCAGAGCTGCAGCTCCCAACTCGCTTGTCGCCCTAGCCAACAAAGGCGCCAGCAAAGACCGTTCAGAAGGAACGATCAGTCCAGCATCTTGCCGTGCAAGAACACCTTCCAATCCCACCGCCTGCAGGACATTTTGGATGATTCAACTGACAAAGGATGCGTTTTTTGTTGGCTGACTTACTTGCCACCGCGCATCAACTGATCCCCCCTCTCATAAATGAAGTTTAGTGGACGAATGCTGTCCACTCACAAAAGCTGAGGAAGGTTGAGTCCAAGAAGTCTGCCCGCTCGTCGGACACTGACTCGGAGGCTCGCTCCAAAGCTAGGGAGTCCAAAGTCTCTGTCAGCAGCTTCGCTTCTTATCGTAGAGGTTCGTTGGCAAGGTCCTCAACGTTCTTGCGGCTCTTACGGCAAACATTAATATTTGCGCCCATCAGGGCCCTTCACGCGCAAATTCAAAAGTGTGACAATATGCCTTTAAAGAAGCTCCTCATGTTCTGGAGGGTCAGTGAACATGGCTGCTGTAACGGGCATGTACAAGCAACTCCGCAGCCAAGCGGCTTTGATTCCAGAGACAGCGCTTGACCTCGCCAGGGCCAGCAGACTGAGACAACAATCGTTGTGCAGGATGCCGCTCGGCTTAGCGGCTCAGCGCCAGCATCAAAAGGGTCTCAAACTTTTGTAGGTACTAAGAGGTATTTTTGATTGAGCCGCATTGACAGCATCTTGTGCCCACAGTCGAAAGAATGGAGGGGGTCGCATCCCATCCTGAAGGCTTCTGTACTTTACTCGGCAGCCCCCACCACTGCAACGTCTGGTACTGATAGTGTCACAGAGAGAGCTACCACACTTGGACTACTACAGAAAAGTAGGACATCAGCAACTAAAGCTACTACCACTTCAATGCTGCTTCTGGCAGCTGCCTGTAGTGGCACCATAACTTGTATTGCACTTGTATTAGCACTAGTGGTAGTAGTAAAGTAGTAGTGATGACAGCAATAGTAGGAATAACTACGGCAGTCGCAGTAGCAGTAGAAACAGTGGCGGCGGCAGCAGCAGCATCATCATTTGCTACTGTTCGATTGCCATCACTACGACCGCCACCACCACGACGGCTATATTGCTTTTGCTATTACTTGTGCGATCTCTCATGCTGCTGGTGTCATACTACAACCACCACACCACTTCCTGAGAAACTACCCCCCGTCACAATGCTTGCTGCTTCTCACTCTCCTCCCTCTCCCTGGCTCTCTCCCATGCTCAGTGTTCCCTTCCAGCCACTCAGACAAAATGACAGCCGATACCATCGCGGATCAGAACAGCAGTAAGATTGCAAGCTGCAAGCAGCAGAAAAGAGTTGCGACAACAGGAGGTTAGCATTAGTTTGGAGATCCTGTTGCCAGTAGCATCTGAATGCTGGGGTGGCTGGCCCAAGGATCGCCCGTCACTCGTACAGCAGCTTGGCTTGACAATCATCACTTTCCAGCTCATGGTCAGTGAATATCAGAGACGTATGCAGACACAACTTTCCTCATGTTGTGGTAGTGTTTGGGAAGCAGTTCATGAGCATTAAGTGAAGGCCAAGCCCTACTGCACCCAGCAGCGACGCTTTGTAGCATTGACGCATACATGTGGTTGTGGATGTTGTGGCAGACTCTCCATAGGTGGCTTCAGGAGCGAGAGGACTTACGGGGGACGGATGGCTCTGATGTGTGTCCTGGGCAGCCTTGTGTTTCATTTGGGCTCAGATGGTTTTTGACTCTTTGCAAAGTCTTCACAGGCTTCATTGTTGACCTGCCCATCGCAGGCATCAGATCTTGCAAACAGCTTTGCAGGAGATGATTCGGACCTCCCGAATACTCATTGTCATCGTCAGCCAGGATTGCTGTTTTGATGGCTTGTCCGAAGTTGCGCACCTCTGGTCAGAAGAGGTGAGCTGCTTCAGACCTCCTTTAACAAAGGCGTATAGGCGTGTAGTTTAACTTACGTCCTGATTCTTTATAAGGAATCAGGCAATATAATCCCGATCCTATATATATATAATATGTTCCACCATTCCCCACTAGGAAGTACCCACCTTTGAATCTGCAGACGGGTGCTCTCTTTTCGAAGAAGAATGTTTTCTTTCCGCTGCCAAAGGACTCGCTGGAGAACGCTGCCGTGCTTCAGGATTGCGTCTGGGCGCCTTGTGTCGCACTTATATTCTGACAGGAACTGGGTGAGTGTTATTGTCTTCTAAACCACATGACTGATTTTGAAGAGCCTTGAATTCTGAAGCATGCGGCATCGGCTAAGGCATTCCAATGGGGTGTGCCCGTCCTGCCAGTACGCCGAGTGGCAGGAGGAAAGATGGCCAAGGCAGGGTCGGAACATGGTTGATATTCTTGTGGTTTAGAACGCTCACGCGGGGGCAGGATGATGATTTCCGCGAACAACGCCGGAAGCTGCGCTTCCTGTTCGCCCTCAACATGGGACTTCCCCAAGTTGGTTTGGGCACCACGGTCTCAGATTAGCAGCCGGCTTCAGTTGGCAAATTGCATCGAATGACCTGCAGTTTGCAATGTCAAGACTCAAGGAGAATCTAAAGTCTCAGGCACGAACAGAAAGGACTTCTTCTTCAAGGTGTCTCAGCTGCACGTGTCCACCCATCTCGCTCTGTTACGGCTGGGCCGTTGCCGCGCATGCGTTTCATCAATGACCTGTGCTCCTGCTGGAGTCAGCTAACTAGGGCTGTGCCCAGACCTTGTGGATACATCGCCACAGAGTGCAATTATCATCAGCCTGTCTCCCTCAGCACATTATTAGGTGTGGCCAGGGGTGCCTGCCCCTGTGTGATTTGGCTAGCGTCTGCAGAATGCAGAAATGCAACAGCTATGCAAAAATGGCAAGGCTCATGGCATGCCATGCTCAAAGAAACTGAGGTGTCAGCGGCCCTGGCCACTGGAATCCGCTCTGGGCGCTCTGAGCGACGCGAGCAGCTGCCCAGGAACATTTGGGAGACGTGGCAACCAAGGGTGATAGAAATTGTGGGGGGCAGCGTAACCGCTCTTTCTTTTAGGCTCATGTAATGATGGAGACGTTTCGACACATGCGCCAGCCCGAGGCATAGCCCTTTGCTTGACAAAGTGTAACTGATCATGTCAGCGCTACTGTAGTTGAGCTTGTATTAAGTTCTCCGAGGGTGTGCGTGGAATCGCTTCTTTTTAGACACTACAAACATCGATGGAGCCTCTACAGCCACCGATGGGTTGACGCATCAACAGCTGGACCTGAGCTGAATCCAAGGAATTCTTCTCCCGATCTGTAAGGCAGCTCCAGCGCAGCTCGCTTGAAGAAGATGTGCCTGCATTGTGACAACATGTGACTGCCACGCATTGTTGGTAATAGCCGTGGTGGCGACACAATTCCACCAAGCTGGTTGTCATATCCCACAGCAAAGGGACGGCATGGTGCGCTCTAAGGAGATGCACAGGAACTCAAGGAGTCTGGCAACGGCGGTCAGGCCAGCGCTTTCATGCCGTTTGCGAAGGCATTATGCGAGCTGGTACCGGCTGATGTGTATTCGTGTCCTCCACGTTTGCTGGCGCTGGGGGCAGGCTTGTAGGTTCTGCCCCTCAGCCCATATAGGGGCCAGAAGATGCGGCTTGCAAGTGGGCATGGGAGGTGATTGCGCACCCGGCTGAAGCGCGCAGCGGCCCTAACCGCATGTTGTGACCCTTCGGTCTGCGCGCATAAGGTGAACTGAAGGGTAGCGCAACCTCCGCACTGCGTACTGCCCAACTAGACTTTGAGATTAGACGGACGGACGTTCTCCACATTGCTGCCCAGGGCATTGCCGACCCTGGTAGATGTCCGCCTTGCATCTTGAAAGTTTGTTGAGGTTTTCGCATCGAAGGAGGCTCCCTCGTAGACATTCCTGACATGGACCCTCGGCCGCTACTGTGGTCAGCCTGCTGAGACAAAACTTTTTAAGCCGGTCAGCTGGCGTGCGCTGGCAGCTTGTGTGCCCAGGGCCAGCTTGCTGATGAAAAGAAGGAGGAGAAGATCAACGCCAAGGCCATGCTTGCCCATCACCTCTGCAGCGGGCTAGGAGCCGTAGGCACGCGTCAGCCTTTCAGCATGCAGGATGACGACGAGGAGCGAGATGAGGATGACATGGGCAAGGACTGGGGGTTCCTTACCAGCTGCTGGATTTCGAGTTGCAAGTTTCAAGTGCCCTCAGATCCGAAAGAGCAAGGGCTTGGATGGCTTGGCTTGACTTGCTGTCTTGGGCTTTCTTCTTCCACTATCGCTTCAGGGGGTGGTAAGCTTCGGAATGGACAGGAGCTGAGCTTGAAGAAGGGAGCTGAGGAAGAGATAGATCTGAACCTGGGCTGCTTTCAGAGCAAACCCACCTCTCATTTCTGGAAGCATCTACCTGACCAAGCTCACTGAATTCGAGGTTTTGTTGTTAGCATTGTTTACTTGAAGACCTATAAACCCTAAATCTTTGTGAATACTTAATGAAATATTTTCAGTATTTTTTCGGTTCCTTACTTCCCCTGTTTCAGGTCCAGCCGATTGCAGCCTTCGATGGAGGATCGAACCTTTGGCGTACTGTCGATGCTTTTGCTGGAGGGCTCCGAGAACTTGCAGGCAAGTTACCATGCATTCTATCTGTTAGTAGCCTCATTGCGTATTAGTCAAGCGGACATGGCACAGGGCTCAGGTAAGCTACTTTGAGTCTGGTAATTGGTTGGCCTTGATGTTTTGATGGTTCTACATACTGTAGTACTGATTAGCCTGTTGGAGCTGATTTGTCAGCACAGCAAGCTTTAAAGCTACTCTGTCTCTGTGTGTGTGTGTGTGCCAAACAGGTTTCCTTGCATGCTTTCTAGGAAGCCCTTAGAGCATCTGGAAGGTTGCATCGAACGCTGCGCATGCTTTGCGCATCATAACGCAAACTGACGCCTTGCCAGCAAGTTCAGTGGGGCTGGGCCTGCTTGTGATGAGTCCGGAATTTGCAGGAATAACACGTCACCAAAAACAACTGGAATTTCTTAGGAGCGTGGCTCACAAGCTGTGGCGATGTTCGGAGGCATAGAGGTTTTGTGCCTTGGCTGATTAGAGGCGAACCATGGGATGCCCTCATTTGCTATAGAAACATGCTGCCCGTCCCGGCTTTGACTGATATGAGTTGGGTTGAAGTCAGGCTGGTAATGGCCATGCTTTCCTGCAGCCGCTTACAGGAGCAAATTGACTGTGCAATTGAAAGAATTGCCTGGCAGATCTAAAGCTCAGCAAGCTATATGACAAACAGTTGCCCTAAGCTGTGTGACTTGGATGAATGTGCCAGATAGGAGCAACGACAAGCGGCTACCTCAGCGCGCGGTGGCGCCTCTCCAAAGAGCGGCCGGCACGGCAGCCAGGTCCACCTTAAGGGAGGGTTGGGTCCTCGAGGGTTGGATGGGCCTCATGAGCCGGTTGCGGCTGTACTGTGCACCGTGTCCAAAATCAGAAAATCAGATCCCGCAGCACCATTTGAATCCCCTATTCATGTTGTTCGTGCCCAGGATGACACGGTGCGAGGTGATGCCTCGCCCAAAAGTGCACGAAAGCGCTTTGGCGTGCAGGACAAGTTTGGATTTCAAGTAGCACCTAGCACTCTGAGAGATGCGCGCTGTGACGCTTTGAAAAAGCCAGGACGCATCAGCGACTTCAGCGCGTGGGGATGCAAGTGCTCGCGGTTGGGATGCCAGCCCACGCGGTCAGGACTGGGGCGCTTCCATTAGTTACCATTAGTTGCCAACCACAGCTTCAGCCTAGCAAGCGAGTGCAAGCGTCTTGCAGAGGACTCGCCAGCATCACCTCGCACTGGCGCACCCCCGAAGAGCGCAAGAGGCAGGCATGGCGTCCACAAGGCGCCACTAGGTTGTTCTCAGCTTTGCATTTTTTTGGGGCTCAAAGCAGCGTTTTGTTGAGCTTCAGCGGGTCCAGCTTCATTTTTGGCTCCGGGTGATCACACCGCCCTGGCGCTTGTCACTGTCTGCAGGATTTGAGCATGAGTTGGAGCTAAGATTGCACGGGTGCCGGAGCAGGATGCCGATTCTGCGCGAGGTGACGCAAGCGCACGCGGCCAGGACTGCGGGGAAAGGCTATCATTGAGCTGTACTGAGCTGAACAAGGTGGCGCATAAGAGCATTTTGCTCAGGACTCGCCGGTGTCACCTCGCGGTGGTGCTCCAAAGAGTGCCCGAGCACGGCATGGTGCCAGCAAGGACCCGCTTTTCGACGAAACCCTATGTATGCGCCCTTACTGCTGACAGGTACTGTACCGGTGCATTCAGTATCCATATCCAGCTGGATGCGATCTGATTTCAGAAGATCTTTTGGTAGCGGGATGTAAATCTTCAGTGGTTCTTCAATGGTTCTTCTGTTCTGGACTGTTTGGCTTGCACAAGTAGTGCTGGTTTTCCAACGCAGGCCTAGAGGTGTTGTCAAGTCAGCCATTAGATAAAATATTCTATCATTTGTCTTCTTGGGCAGTGCAAGGACCCGCCAGACTCTGGTCGAGGGCAGCCAAGCGCGCGGGGGCGCAGCTGAGCAGATTCAGCAAATTTCAGCCATGTCGGATTATCCATGCCAGCATCCGCATACTGGTGACCCCATGCGACCAGTGAAACTACGCGTCATGTTTGCTATCTTCCTGCAAAGACTGCAAAGATTGTTTCTCGAGCTGCTCTCCGAGGTGCACAGGCTGGGCAGTCAGCTCGTGGGGGTGAGGCTTCGGCCAGGGGCGACATCTCGTCACGCGGCGGGGCCTCGGAGCGCTCTGGCCAATCAGGTGAGGAGCCTGAAAGGCCAGGGCAATCCAGGGGGTGTTTGCTTCAGGTAACTTTCCCACATTTCAATCTCTGATTGTGTAGCATAGGCTCCTATTATGACTCTGATTCTGCGACGCAAGCTTGTGCGCAGGCGGCACGCGCGCTGCAGGTGCTTTCGCTGCTGTTGCTGCTGGCATGCATTGGGTTGCATCTTGCGTCCCAGGCTTACTCCTTTTCAGTGCAGCTTTCTGGCGTCTTAGGCTGTCGGGGAAGGGGACAGGATGAGCAACTGGGTGACGACGAGTTCATAGACTCGGAAGCAGGCAACACACAAATCCATAAGATCTGACGTTCGAGTACCTTGCAACAATATTTGGACTTAAGCCGCTACCTTTCCTCACGTGTTGCAGGGAACGGCAAATCATCACGAGGTGTCTTTGGCTGCAAGACTTGGAAGTTGATCAGATCCGGCCAAGTCTTAGCACTTTGCAGACTCTGCCTGCTGGGAAAGTTTTGGGAGTACATTTGGCAGCGAGATTCTCTGTGCCATCTCTGCTCGTTCTGACCAATCATCTCCTCCCAGAAAAGCTTCTGGAAGCTCGGTGACTGCCGCTGTCACACAGAGCGCCATCCCCTGATTGTCTGCCACTGAAGCCACCCATGCAGCGGAGCAAAGCACGGCAAAGCAGGCGACAAGGACATTGGAAACGTTGTTGTGCGCTTGGCCGATCATGTCTTCGTCGCTTTGCAAGCACGAAGGGGCGATTTCATACCTCAATATGGGCACTGGTTGATGCCAGTTTCCATGAGGCATCGCTCCGCAATGTTGCAGCCCACTCTGCGGAGAGACGAAAGCAGATTCTGGGCCTTCAGGGAGAGCAGGCGCAGGGCATGGCAGCCTGAGCATGCTTTGGGCGTGAATGTTTGAGTTTGTCTGCTACCCTGCTGAAGTTGCGCATCTGCCAGGTTGGTGTCGAGGCGCCGTGCTTATACAAGAACACAGAACGTTTGATGCTGGGCTGAAACAAGAATCAAACCTGATGAAGCTCACACAGGCTCTGGCGCTCTTCAGGGGCCGCGACGCTGGGCCAAGTCGCTCCGTCGCCGCTTTCCTGCGCAACCTTTCAGAAGGCTGCCCTGGCGAATCAAGAAAAGGATTGAGAGGCATGTTGTGTGCAGTATGACATGCACGTCAGGCTCAGATGGTGGCTTGGCCAGAGGAACATGCGTTTGGACAGAGATTTCCTCGGCAGTGAAGTGATGTCAGTGATGTCTCGCGAGACCACTTTCTGGTGCAGCCTGCGGCAGGGGTCCAGATACAAAAATGAAACGCTTCAGATGTTTGTGTGGGAGAGTTTGACAGTAGAATAACAAATGGCGGAGACCAGCACATGCCTAACGAAAGCAGTGCTGCGGGTGACATCAAGGTCGAAGTCAAGAGTGCTGCATCTTGCAGCCTAGGTGTTGTGCCGTTGGCTAATGCAGGCTTCCTGCAGCTAGCAGAGGAGAGGCAAAGTAGAGAAGCATGGCTTTCTGATAGATGCTTTAGCTGCACTTGGACAGGAAGAGCTGGATGACAACCTGGGTGGACCTCAAGTCCGGCGCCACATTCTTGTCCCCGTCTTAGATGCTGCTACCTTTGCGCACGCCCTTTGTATGGGCGCTCGTCGCATGCAGATGGAATGTTACATCAGTCGTCACCCAGGCGGCCTTGCAGAACATGGCAGCCCAAGTCGGACAAAGCAACGCGGCCAACAAAGCCTAGCTAGGCGCTGTTGTGATGCTACAGTAAAGCCGCAGCTGCGTTGGCTACACAGCTTTTGAGAAAAACTTCCAGGTGAAGAAGTTTTTACACAGCCTGCCAGCTGGCTGGAGATGTGTGGTATTGCTTCGCAACGCGGCCTCCAGGTTGGGCGTTCTGGTCAGTGTCGGGCAAGCACTTGCCAACAACGGTCGTTTACTGTAGGCAGTGTGCTTGCAACATCAGTCTGTTTTGGCTCTGCATGCGAGAGATTCCTTGGCGTCAGCATCTGTCCGTGCAGGATCGAGATGCCCGTGCGACACAGCAGGCTCTGGGTGCACCTTGGTTGCACAAGCCTGCTGTTGAAACCATTTCCACGACAAACCTTGGCCTTGGCATGTGCGGCCAAGATCATCAGAATTCCAGCTTCGCCTACAAAACCCTGTTGCCTACTGTGCGCCAACTGCATGCTGCTCGCAAAGTTTCTGAGGCGATGGGAAACTTTGCAGTCCTCCGCGCCGCGCAGGAGCTTTAAGAGGTTGATGTGGTTTGATGGAAATGTAAATCCACTGAGTGATGTAGAGGTCAGTCCCGCCTGAGCATGCTAGAGTCTGCTAGAGCAGGAGGCCAGGACCAAGGATGGCCGTGAAGGCTTTTGCGCGTTGCCTTCTGTGCTGTAAGCAATTGGTGCCTCCATAAAGGTTGCCAGTGTCCAGGCCGTGGAGACTACGGCCCTACTGCGACCATGCGACTGGCTCCTGCCACCACTGATGCACCAGACGAGTCTGATGAGGAGGCCATCACTCCTCGCTCTCTCTCTCTGTCTTTCTCTCTCTCCCTCTCTCTTTCTCGCTCTTTCCTTCGTCTCTCTCCGTCTCTGTCTGCCGGAAAAAGGAGCAAGATGGAGTGACATCCGGGCAAGCCATCAGTCGAATGGCGCTTCAGGCCCCGGAGCTGCCATCACCCGAGGCCACGAAGCCACCTAGCGACTCTGAGGACGGGAACTTCAAGAGAACTGGCTCAGGGCCAATGGAACTCTGAGCCATTCTGGGTAGCAATAGCAGAAGCCAAGTTGTTCATTGAAGCCTTCAGGAGTTGTGCAAGCTGTGCAGCACTGTGCAGCTGTGGTAGGAGGCAGAGTCAGAACAAAGCTCGGTGGGAAGTGGCCTGCAAAACCAGCCAGCCACGAGATCCGTGCCACGTGCCGTGGCTCCAGTCAAGTTATCACCGATGAAAACATGGTTCAAAAAAGCTCGTTTAGGTGGGATGTCTTGTGTTTCTTGTTTACATTTCTGCTGCAAGGTTCAACTTCAGACCTGCCGAGCGTGCCGACCGACGACCAGGAGCTTGAGTTGTCGTTGCCTACCTGAAGCGCCAGGGCTGATTCGAGCTGAGCAAAATTGGCTTCTGCAGAAACTGAGGCTGGAAAAGGCACATGAGAAGGCCGAACGCGTTGTGACTGGCTGTGACTTCAAGGTTTTGCACGCCGTGTGCTGTGTGGTGCCAGGTTCCGCCTGCGATGATTCAGAACATGCTGGACTTGCTCCAGGCCTTCATTACGTCAAAGCTACGTCCCAAAGGGCTCTGGAAAAGGGCTGTGCAACGTCCCAGAGCCTGTTGTACCCACATGCAACTTCTGCAGGTCAAGAGGCATGCGTCTGCAAACGCAGGGAATGAAGCTTGGATGCGTGTATGCCCGTGTTGTGGTGTGATGGAAATTCTACAGCTACAGGGATCTCACCCGCAACCCTTTCACTTGTTCTGTATCGCAATGCCACGAGTTGCCAGGATAGTTTGCGGCAAGCATGTGCTGATACAGCTCAGGCCGAAGGCGGTGTGTCAGCCCCGTCTGTGTCCATCGCCACCAGCACTGCGGCCACACTCGCAAATTTTGCGCAGGAGCAGAGCAATCCAAAGAGCTGTAGGTGATCTGGGCTTAGGACACAGCCGATGTTGGAACGTTCATCAGTGACTGCCAAAGGACACCGACATCGAGCGTCTCATTGGCTCTATGGGTGGTGTTGCTGCTTGATGTGGTTTGGATTCGTTGCGACAAGTGCTCTAGCGGAGCATGTGGACCACATGAGCAAATAGTGCGGGAGATACACGGCGCTGACGAATGATGCGCAGTCAAACAATGTGGTTGATCGCTCATGCTGCGGTCCAAATGCCGACTGTCCTCTCCCTAATGAATGTAAATTTGCTTAGCCAAGGAGATCGTGCTGGAATCCATTGCCATAGTTGATGCGCAGGCTAACGCTGTCAACAGCAAGATGAAATATCCACCTGCATGGCAGAAGAATCCTGCAGTTCTCGTGGCGTTGGAGCTTCGTGTCACAAGAGCACCTCAGACGTTTGCAACCTGGCAGGAGTTTTATCTCCAGGCCGTGCGGTTTCTGTGGAACATGCAAGCTGGCTGCAAGCCTGCATGTGCTAGAATAACACATCATCGCTCTGCTGGATCCTGGTAGAGTTGTCCAACAGTCCAACAGATAGCAGTGCAGGGACAAGTGTCACTTTCTCTCGCCTTGTTCTTTGACAAACAGTGCGGCTGCTACAAGGACATTCTCGAAAATCAACCAACAAAGGTTTGGGCCTGAGCATGTACGGGACGTATGGCTGGTAAACTGATGATAAGCCAACCAAGAGTGCTGAACATCGTACTTGGGCATTTAATGCTAAAAATGGCACCTTTCAAAGGTTTATGGATCACGGAGGCGTCCAGAAGGTGCTGGCCAAACACTCAGATGAAACGTGTGAGAGTCGCGATCATGCCTTGGCAAGTTGCGAGCCATAGCGATTGTGGTCTAGGCCTAACCTGCCAGATCAGGCCATTCTGACACGCCACCGTCAGCCTCAACATGCGCCGCTGCAAGAACAGGGCTGTGGTGCCGCTTGCTTGAAATGCACATCTTGGGGGCTCCCGCAAGTTGAGACGTTGTGGATTGTTTCTTTAGTGGCGCGGTGTAATACTTCCAGGCTGAGCACCGTGTTTTTCAACACCCGCACCTCCATAAACATGTCGCATAACTCTGATGCAATGACCCTTAAGGTGCTTCGTAATCTTGCTTATGGCCATACTGGGCGACACAAGCTGAAGCTCTTGGAATCTGGGGTCATCCAGTGCTTATGCGAGGCTCGCGGCACTTGCAATGTTGGCTTGCCGGTTGATTAGAGCGTAATCCGCCCGCTCATCGGCAAGCTGTGGAATTCAAACTGCGCATTCGCTACTGCACTCTTCTAAAAGCGTGCAAGCACGGTGAGGGTGGATTCGGCTACTGCAAGCACCAACGCCTGTTCAAGCGTATTCAAGCGTTATAAGGTCAGTTGGAGCTTGAGGTGACATAATGATAAGCAAGCTTCGAATCTAAGCTCGCCTGTTTGTCAGCGTTATGCCAGGCCCTGGAGCACTTCTACAAGGAAATCCACGTCTGCATCCAGGCCGTGGCCGGCATCACTGCGCTGTGCATCCTGGCAGAGAGGGCCTCCCGTGGTGCTAGACCTGCCAGATCCTGCCATGCTTGCCTGTTAGCATCTTGTAGAAGTTGTTGATGCTTGAGGGAAGCTGCGGTCCAACAGTCTCAGGCAGGGGCTCCCAAAGAGGGGCCATTGTTTGTGGTCAGTGGATGATCAGGCACCTACCCCCAAGGAAGGAAAGACAATGGGAGGAACACGCAGAACTCCGTGCTTTGGCGCTAGGAGGGGCTTTACAGCTCAGGCGACAGTGCTCCGCCTGCTGCCTTGCAAGCAGCCGACTATGGGGCAATAACTTGGCTAGTGCTACTTGGCTCGCACCGTCTCAAGTTTCAGTTGGCGTTGCAGCACGACAGTCCAAGGCCGAGTCCAAAGCACAGTTGGCACATGCAAGCAGAACTGATGAACTAGTTGTTGATTCACTGCCAGTGACATCCGAAGTTGGAATTGAGAGGCAACGTTGCGTTGGTAGCCGGCCTGTCCTTTCAGTGTATTGATTCCCGTTCCGCACCACGAAGCAGAGCATTTTAAAAAAGATCCAGCCATTAGCGCAGAATCATCCAAATGCTCAGGAGGGCGTTGAAGCTTACTGGCGACAATGTGGAAGTTACCCATCAGATCCTGCAGGTGCAGCAAATCGCAGCAGCTGAAGATAACGACGGCTGTAGAAGTTGCAAGAGTCCCTACTTTCCGGCTACCAGCTTGCAGGCGCTTGCGAGCATCCTCATCATTCCAGAGGCATGGCTGGCTGCATCGATGCCAAAAGAAGCCCTGGCTGAGCCTGGTTAACGCAATGGACGGTTGAAGATGGCTTCCGAGTGGCACTGATACCCTGACAGGCCTTGAGGCCATTTGGACTTCGTGGTGGACATATGGAGGCAAGGGCTAGGTCAACCTGTCTGTCGTCACCTGTGGTGGCCTAGATTCATCCTGCCACTTCGACAGATGTGATGCCATGTGTACCGATGTTTTTTCTCAATGTGTTGAACTTTGCTGAAACGAAACACCTTTTGAAGGCTTATTCTAAAGTTCTTTGGCTGACCATGTCTGGGCATATTAGACGTGACGTGTTCGGCCACAGCCATTGGATTTGGGCCAAACGCAAGTTTTCTACCAAAATGCTAGGAAGCCGGGATGTAGTTCCCACTGCAGGATAAAGATGCCCCAGCCACCGCCCCTTGCCCAAGTCTTGGGGCACGCTCCAACGATGAGATTCCCCAAGCCTAATTGAGCTAGCACATGTTGTCCGCCATGCCACTTCAGATGCTGAGAAAGGCTTTAGTACGAAATTATAATCGTAGTACTATGTTACTATATTACTTTAATCGTGCTTTAATACCATAGTATGATATTAATAGAAAAATACTATTTTCTAACATCACTATGTTAGTATTCTTATACGATATTTTACTATATAATTAGTAGAATAATACTACGTTACCACGGCCAGGTTTTGAAAGTTGTTGACCGGCTTCCTTCTGCGGGGGCCTTACTTGATTCGCCGCGCAAGTAGAATGCACAGGATTTCGATCGACATTTCACGTCAGCGAGGTCTTTATCCGTTTGCCCACATGTTGTTCTTCTTAGTTCGGGTGTAGAATTGTGGCCCGTGCGTACCTCCAATCACTACAGTCCAGAATCATGATGTGGTGGCTGGTTGAACTTTCAGTTGTGCCGGCAGCCATCCACTCCGTGCCTCAAAAATCATGATGAGGGCCCAAAATCTTCTTTTGAAGGAACCGGCCGACAGTATGCCGTTGATAAGCTGCCTCTGTAGCAGCGAGGATGGAACTCTACTTCTTGCCTTCCGGACCTTGGCTGCGGCGTTGAGCCACACCCAGCTGAAGGACTGACTTGGAATTTTGGAAAATTGAAACTATCACAATGGAAAATCCAATGGAAAATGAAATGGAAACTGGTGTGATGATGGGTTTATTGGTTTTCTGCAAACATCATACAGGTCAGGTCCCAGACTTGCAGGCATGACAGGGGCCAAGCATTGGCTAAACAGTTGGGTTCGAAGTCGGGACGGCAACTGTTCCGCACTATCTATCTAAATCTCAGAGAATCTCGAGGTAGCAACAGTCTTGTGCACTAAGCATCCACTTACACGCGGTGCCAGGTGGAGAAGCCTGCAAGGTTTTCCTAGGGTCCTGAGGATGGCTATGAAGATCCAAGCTGACTCCTGCCCAGGCCCTGCCAGCCCCCTGCACCTGGGAAGGCATGCTGTCATGAACAAATTCTAGCCTACGCCTCTGGTATTTTCTGGTAACATGGTACTATGGTAGAATAGTACTACTATAGCAATGTAGTAATATCATGGCAATACATATAATGTAGTAATTTAGTATTTCTATAGAGATGCAGGAGCTGGAGGACCAGAACCTGGCTGCCATCATGGCGAAGGAGCTCGAGGACTGGAAGGGGAAGTGGCAGCTTTGGCCCCCCAATATACCATATAGTAGTTTCCATTTTCTTTTCCATTATCCCAATATAATCCCCCATATATACACCCTTATAATATAGTAGTTTCCATATTCTTTTCCATTATCCCCCATATGACCCTCAATATAGCATATAGTCTGCGAAGTGCAGCATCCCAGGAACAGGAGGATGATGACAACCCGATGAGCCCCTGAGAGCCAAGAAGTAATTTGTCAGGTTTCAACCGCTGTTTATTGTGATTTTTCCCATGGCTCCCCAGACACCTCCCTGAGTTCCTGTAGTAGGTCCGGGCATCTATATAGAAGTGCTGCTTTCTGCACAACACGCCTGATCAATCGAGCATGCAGCCATGCCTAAACCCCCAAAACCCTAAACCCTAAAAGCCTAAACCCTAAACCTCATAGGGTCATGGCTAAGGTCCTCCAAAAGGTCGCCCAGCCTTGAAAGCTCAGGTGCTGCCGAGAAGGAAAACTTGATTTCGCAGTGGCAGTTGATGAGTGACGCCCCAGGATCCCAGCCCCTTGGCGGCAAGGTACCATTTTGGGGGTTTCCATAATAAGGATTATACTGTAGTTTTTGGGGGTGTCTACTGGGGTCTCCCTATTGATGGAAACTACCCTGTGGCAAGGCTCCAATACACCGGGAGGCGCTTGCGATATAGTTGAGACATGTTCTGAGGATACGCATTGAGTTGATGGACGTGCACATCATCAAGAAAGTCGTCAACGCCCCGTGACAGAAGAAGACTACCGAATGCCAAGCTTGTGACCCTTCCTAGTCCAGCTGAGAGGATTTCATCCCATTGGATCGTCCTCTGCTATTTAGCTGCCATTTTTCTCTGGAAGCATCAAAGGCGCTGCAAAAGTTCCACGAGTACACAACTGCCATTGAGGCAGGCGCGCTCTTCTTCACCGTAAGAAGACAGTCTGTATTTCTGGCCAATCATGGAAAATCCTTGCCAGGCTGGTGCTGGTGTCCTGCTGAACTTGACACTGGAAGTCTTCGAGAAGTTGGAGAAGGAATCCTGGAGCTTTCGGGCTCATTGTTGAACCTGGTTTGCTCGTAAAACTTACACTGCTTGCTAAGTGTTGGCCAGCTAAGACTAAGTCTAGGCGTGCTAATCGCCGCATTGGCTGCCACTACCACAAGCTACGTGAGAGCCTTGAGGATGAGAACCACTTGATGCGCAAACTGGAAGTGGGGCTGACGCATGCCTGCACGAGTTGTCTGTTAGTTGGCATTTCTGTGCGTCGATGACGGCGCTGTGGTCACCAGCTTCCATGTTTGCAACCTGAGGGAATGCCACAAGTGTCTCACAATCATTGGTCAGCTGGCGGCCAAAAGGTCGGAGAGCAACGCAGGCCAACATACTGAAACCCATTGCAGCCTTGTGCTACCGTGTGCTGGCAGAAGTTCTTAATAGGGAGAGTGGAAAAGAAAATGGAAACTTTTTGATGATAATGGAAAAGAAGGAGTCAGAACTCACCAGCTTACAGTGGCTCCTCCGCTTGTTGCAGGCTTTGCATCTAACATGTTCTACCTCCTGGCTGCGGTGACGCTGAACGAGGAAGTAGCCCTGCTCCTCTACAGGGAGAAGGCTTGAGCCAGTTCACATCAACCGTGAGTCATATTTCGCACCATTTTCTGAATCCCATTCGTGGGTTGCTTTGCTCGAGGCTGCTTCCAGGACCCTCCAGTACATGAAGGCGTGTACAGTCCAGACCAGGTTCTAAAAGTTGCAAATGTTCCAGCTTCCGCAGACATCTTAATGTGTGCTGCATACTACGGTTCACACCGGAAATCCCACAAGATACTCTAGGAATCTGAGTGTGACTATGTTATCATCTCCTCCACCTCCTACTACTAGTACCACCACCACCACCACCACCACCACCACGACTACTACTACTACTACTACCACCACCACGACTACTACTACTACTACTACTACTACTACTACTACTACTGCCGCGGCCGCTACTACAACAACACCAACTGCTGCTGCTGCCATTACTGCTCTGGGGCGGCTACTGCTACTGCTGCGACTGCTGCTACTGCTACTGCTACTGCTACCATGGCGTTCTGCACCTAGAATGCATGGGACCCGGAGTGAGATCCACCAGGCAGGCTCCAATACGCCAATAAAGAAAATCCACAACTCGGCAAACTTTGCCAACTTGCAGGCTTTTGTGCCAATCTCAGCAGGCTATTGTGTTCAGCGGAGCACAACGGCTCGCCAGGCGCAGGAAGGCAATGGCAGGTGACTTTATGAGACCGCTGTCCACTATGATGCCGTGCACTACTACTACTACTACTACTACTTCTACTTCTGCTGCTGCCGCTACTACTACTACTACTACCACCACCACTACAACCTACGACAACAATTATCTAGAACTACTACGCCGCCTCATTGCCAGAAGTTCTGCTACGACCCCACTACGATGACACTGAGACACACGGCTGCTTCCACAAACATGGAGAGCAAGATCCTTTGCAGAAAGGTCCTTGAAGCAATGACATTTTAAAAGGAATCAAGATTGGTGTGCACTTAATGACCAAGCTTGCTGATTCTTCCTGGTAGGCCTATGATGGCGAGCCGCGAGTCCAAGCAGGAGGACGGAGAGACTGACGTGAGCGAACACTTGCAACCAGCCCGGACCCTGAGATTTAGCACATTCCCTCGAGCAAAAGTAGACGTCGCAACTGGACCCCCTGGATCCAACAGCTTAGAAAATCACAGGAGCCGCCTTTCTCAGCAATTTGGCAAAAGCGAAGCTTCGCATCCGCGAGGCTGATCAGAGGGCCTGGCTTCTAAGTTTTCAGCACCTGCGCATCGTGCGCACGTAAAACGAGCAAAAGGACAGACGCAAGAAGGGTGAATGTAACATGCACAAGCCGATGCAGAAAGACGCGGCTTATTCAAGTTTGTGCTCTCATATCAGGATTCCCGGATAACTCTGCCTAGCAGGCTGTGGTGGAGGGTGGCAGCGTTGAGTGCCTGCTCTCGCTGCTCACGAAAGCGAAGGATCGCAGAGCATGCTGCTCTCTTTGATGGGAGCTCGTAAAGCAGAACTCAGGACGATGCGCTGGTGATCATGGCTGCTACGAAGGCATGCGCCGCATGAGTTTAGCACAAGCATTTGATTACATGGCCAATGCTGGTAGAGGGGGCATGTTGGAAATTGCCAAAGCACGATGTTCGAAGATCTCGAGCTTGTTTCTGTGTATCCAGCTCATGTTGGCGGTGGCGCATATCACTGTCCCATGCAAAAACACTGTTGGGCTTGCCCAGGCGCTCAAGGATCTCATTCCTGCTCAGGCTGGTGCCGTCACTCCTGCTTTACGACATTCGGCGGAGCATGGTAGCAGAACACGTGCATGCAGGCAGCCTTCGATATCATACGGAAGTACAAGATCGTCAGCATGATATTCGAGGCCAGGGCCATCCTCGCCTGCTACGACTGGCGCTGTGTGCGTAGAGTGCCTTCACACTGTAAGTCAGAAATGTGCAAGTCGCTTGCTCAAGCTGAGCCGCTCCAGATGCCTGAAGCCAGGCAGCGGATGTGCACGTAGCGAATGCGAGGCTTGGACAGCAAAGGTATGGCTTGACTTGCAGGGGCGAGGAAAAGTGAAGCACTTGCCAGTGCAGCGTCTTCCAGAACAGTGTTTGCCTTTGTCTTCGGCTTGGTGAGTTCAGCTCGTTGTATGCAACCTTCTCATTGCGTACAGAAACCTCTGCAGTTCATGAAGGCCCGCAGTTCATGCCTAGCATCGCTGCAAAAAGCATTTGAAGCTAGTTCCTTTCTAAGGGACGTGACCGGCACTAGCTTGAACCTGCTGTGGCACCTTGGTTCCAATGTGGTTCAGTATGTGCTACAGTGAGGTAGTCTTTGAAAAACATTGCGCAAAAGCCAGTGGGCTACCTGCAATATGGAGGCTGTTGCTGAACAGTTGTTGCCACGACGATCTGTACTTGCAACATCGTCAGTTGTGAGTTGGTGCTGTGGTGGTCATTGTGCAATTGTCAGGGTGAAAGCTAGAGCATTGCTCATCTTCGTTGTCATCGAATGTAAATGATGATGATTATGATGTTGATCGGGGGGGCATAGTTACACTCAATTAAAGTGCCTAGCAAAAGAAAGCCATTGGCTATGACAGCATGTTCGATGATTTTGCATGTGCCGCGGCATGACGGAGGACCTTATCAGCATTGGAGGGCTATGCCGAGCAGCTCAATCGAACCTTGCTGCAAGCATGCAATCTTTCATAGCCTGCTTCAAGTGGCAATCTCCGCCGTAAAGGGCGCAGATTAATGCTATGAGCCCGACTTTCTATTTCTGCAGCTTCTACCTGCTTGCTGGGCTGTCTCCTCAGCCACATGGGTTAGCTACATGAGATACTTTCTATATTAGGCTTATTAAGGGGCCCTTGACAGTGGACATATGGGTCCCTCTTGTAGTTCAGTATAGTCCCTAATAGAGTCCCTAACAAGGAGCCCATGTTCATTCAATTATGTATAGAAAATGTTGACTGTAGTAGCTCACATGGCCCGGCTAGCTGAAAGAAGCTGCAACAACTTTGGTTTGAGGCGCGGACACGACGCTTCGCGCTCTACAGGTCGCCCTCGTGTCATTCTTTGAACGCAACAGATGCGAGGAATAAAGTCAATATTGGGAAACCCTAATCCCTATAATTATACCCTATATAACCCCTAAATCCCCCTTCTAATGGGAAATCCACCAGAAATCCGAAGCTTGCACGGCCATGTGCTGTTCCCTGTCAGCCTTGACATCATAAAAGCAAGCGTAGAAGAGTAAGCCTTTTCAGAAGACTGGTGAATACTGGTGGCCTAGTTGGAGATGAAAGGCAAAATCGTTGCTAACGCTCAGCTCTCTTCAACATAATCGCTGACACATTCATGTGCGTGGACCATTTTGCAGTTCCAGAATGTTCCAGATATTTCTGCAGGCCTTACGCTTACATCGCAAGCACCGCGAGGCCTGCTGAAAACATATCTTGCCATGTGAAAAGCAGAGGCCCACCTGCAAAGGATCCTGGCATGGCGGATTGTTCTGTGGATTTTGCATTTGGAGACCGTCCGGACTTTGCTTACTACAGCTTGCTCGGCCGCTGCAGGTCTGCAGGTGCAGCGGCGGACTGCTACGAAATCTTCTTGCAGCACCTTTGAGACGCTTAGTTCAACAATTTGGCAGACTGAATTGATGAATGCCTCTTGGAGACCAGGGCAGTCCTGGACTGATTTTTCCCAGGCCAGCAAGCTGCAGCAGCATGTGTGGATGGAGGAGGTCTCAGGCCATTGGTTTACAGTTTTTCTGAGCTGCGCATTCTTGCTTGCAAGCTCCACGTTGAAATTGCAGAGCTGCGGTCCGCATTTGGAACGACGTGGGGTCCAGAAACGATCAGAAACGCAGTGAGAAGCTGAACAGTAGAGATTGCGGGAGGTTGCTGCTCACCACGCTTTGGCAACATTGTCTTCCAAGTGAGGCCGGGTAATGCTTGGAGAGCTTGCTAGCAGAGCCTTCTTTGTAGCTTGTGGCTTGACCGCTTGCTGTAAGGCTGCTGACATGTCAAGAGCGACTGGCCAGGGCCTCTGATTGCTGCAGCTGCGTTGAAACCTGCAGATGCCATTACCATGTAGATTTGATTAGGGTTATGGTGCCGGGGCTTGCTCACAAAGGGACATCCATGCGCTAAGTCGCGGCTGCGAAGAGAACAAGCCAGCAGTCCGTGGACATGGATGGCGCGACCGCTCCAGCACAAGGTCCCTCTCCAAAAGGGTGGGCAACACAGTTTCAGGGGAATATGACTAATCCTGTCAGTTTAGCAGTGCCTACTTGATATTCTGATGGGATAGTGGGGAGTGTTCGGAATGCTGGCGCTGCTGTGGTCGTTTGGCGGTTGGTGGTGCTCGCCAGTTTTGAGTGACCGCAGGTGCAGAGGAGGACGCTGAACTGGTAGAACGGCGGCGAAGAGCCTCGCAGTTGCGCCGAAATTCACTACGCCAGCAGCCAGGCTCCTTTGACATGAGCCCGATGGGCCATCATGCACGCTTTGCTTTTTGAAAGAACAGTCTGGATGGGCTCACCCAAGTCACTGCATGTGTTAGATGGAACTGAGACTGGTCACAGGCGATGAACTGGGCAGACGGGCATCTGTCGGGAGCATCGGCTCTGCTGGTGGCAACAGGACTGAAGATGCAAGTTTCCTGATGCACCTCCTTGAACATCACCCTGAGCTTGAGCCCGGGCATGCCTCGCAGGAGAAGCTCGCGTCGCAACAGCATAGGCTGGCCTTCAAAAAATGCCCTGAAGAGGTGCGAAGGGGTGTTTGCCTGTCAGGTTCGGAGGCCGGAGATGCCCTTCATAGTGTCCACATCGAGGTCCCTTTCTTACCGTTCGTAAGATCTTGTCGTGCCTTTCCATCACTTCAACCTGGCTGCCTTCCAGGCCGCTGACGATGAGAATTTTGAGAACATGGCTGTCGCAGACGCTCTGCATACAAAGCCGGGTATGGTCAGGATATATTAGGATGAATCATGGGTTCATTGGTGATGTAATGCCTTTGATTCGCACATGCTTC